GGAAGTGCTTCGAGGGAAGTTGACAGAGGGGGTTCCTATGGGCTGAATAAAGCTTACAATATTACAAAACATCCAACTGGAAAGCAATCCCTGAAACTAATATTTTTAAAAGAAATGAATTATAGCTAAACAGCTCACATTCAGTTTGCTCACTTCTGAAGCTTTTCATGATTTCCACTGGGTTCGTCATCATTGGAAACTACCAGATTTCAAAAAAAGTTTGCATATAAGAAGGGATGAGCAAAAGTTAGATAACATCAAAAAACGAGATCATTAAGAAAGCATAGATGAAAAAATGAGCAGAACAAGACGACGCAAGTAGTAACCCACACGGTTATAAGCCTTTTGTTTTGGAGACTAGAGTATTGTTCAAATCAAGCAGCAAAAATTTGATGATTAGCGTTCAGCTGCCCATACGATGCCCAGGAAGTCTGAGGACTTAAGAAGATTTACAGGATTAGTAATGGAAGATGGAATCCTGGGGCCCCAAGATTCAGGAATTTTTGCGATTTTGAAGTACCCGAACCACAATTGACTACCGGCGGCACCACTATCAATCGCTGTATTTTTTGTTTTTGTGACGGAAGCCATACGAGGGTATTAAACGACCGCGGGTAAAATCCTACATTCGGCACCCGGTGAATTCGATCCGATTCTTCGGGCCGGTTTGCTCTAGAATCTCCCGCTTTTGGTCATGTAAGCATAATTTCTGCACGTGGAAACGATCTCTAAGCTTTAAGTCGCAAACCCAAATTCTGTAAACTGTCTTGTTATCTGTACAAAATACCAGATAACTTTAAATTTGTCTACAAACAAATAGATAGATATTTGCAATTAAAAGTTGCTTTAAGGAAAGTTTTATAGCGATTGCCCAGATCACGCTATAACAGACCATTATAAGAATGATTTCTTAAAAATTTTCAAAGAGTATAGTATAGTATACCAAGTTTGAGACCCCCGATACTGAAGTTATGCCCAAAACATCCCAAAGTTTTGACCCTAATCTCGCTTTATCTTCCCAACCAGCCTTCTAACTTACTATTGGGTGATTGGAACTGCAATTCAGGCTCAAGTCAAGTAAGTGGCTTTTAAAGGGACTGCTTATTCAAAAAATCTGCCAAACCACCAGCTTTTTCCAGATTTTTCATGATTTTTCATGATTTCAAACTTTTCATGATTTGTTACCTTCAGACGTCTTTTTTCCTGAATAATTTTTAAGCTTCATTCAGTCCCCTAAAAACTCTTTTAACATCTAGATCTAGCCACAGGTGATTTCTGATACTCCGGAATGGATCCCCGGGAAAGAGAATCATCAAGGGAATAATGTATTTACCCTTCCCCTGGAGCTGACCACTACTCGATTGCCTTTGAAATCCAAGCCGAGGGGACTGGCACAATTCACTTTAGCGGGAGGTATCAATTTATGTTTGCATTTTAGGACCCCTGAGGCACGGCTTATTGCGGTGTTACGAGGAACACGAAAAGTTAACTAAACCTATGTTCTGCTCGGTTTTAACAACTGTTAAATTTGATTATAGTTGCTTATGTTCACGGTATACCGACCACCGTTCGGCAGCCTCTTTAGTCACTGAGAGATTACTCCTCCCCACCCCACACCCTTAGAGCAAAACTTTAGAAGAAGAGACTTAGAAAGACTTGTCGCAAATTCAGGGTACCCAGATCCATCAAGGGATAATCCGAGCGTCTCCCGTGCTCAACAGAACTACTCTCTAGAGATTCTCTCTCTGCACTCCAGAGATTCAGATCTTATTTTTAGAAACAGGCATTATGACTCCAACGGCCCAGAAAGCCCTTTTTCCTATATTAATTCCGAAACCCCAGGACCCGAGGGTAAAATGGCACCACCTCTACCTTTGTTGATCCCAACAATCCCCCAGAGCCTATATTTACTTTGACCCTGAAGGCTACTTAGCCTGGATCTTTCTCCTGCCCTCTCCCTGCTTGTTTCCGAAGTGGCGTTCACGAAGGTTCAATCCTGGAGTCCTATTTTTGTTTCGAATCTGCACGCTTAGTGCAGGCTTTGGCAAAAGGACCTCCAGGAGATTTACAGTGGGGCAGACTTACCTGGGAATTAAAACTATCTGGGTCAAGGTAGTAATTTTCACGACCGGGGTGAAGCTGTGATTTCATTTGAGGGATAAACCATAATACCTCTCTATCCCCCCAGTGGCGACCAAATTGATTGAAATTTTAGGGCGTTGGCCCGCTGTCTCCTCCCTTTCTTTCCGACTGTCTGTATAGACAAGATTTGTTGCGGAAGGCAAAATCCCCTGCTTTCTCAAGAGTGGAATTCTTCCACGTCTATTATTACCCTAACATTCTAGGACATATAGACGCTGTTTTATCTCTTATGTTAGACCCATTTTTGAGAAGGCCTTTATGAGTATGAGATTACACTCTAAAATCTGTCGATTCTAACCAGGATCCCGAGAGTCAATTCAAAAGCGCTACTCTACTAAAATTGCCCTCTTAAAAATTGATGACGTAAAGTATCATGGCTACAGCTATGAACAGGCTTAAAGTTTTCCAATTAGGGTACTCACTGCAACACCGCCCGGCTAGTCATTGGCTTTTAGAATGTTTTTCACAAAATCTAAAATTACCCCAAACATTCTGATCCCCTTTATACCAGGTTTTCTTTCACACCACCTCTGGCTCCTCTGCTCGAGGCTAATCTTTTAAGTATCTTAGATCCATTTCTGATGTTGCTTTGAATTGCTTTCACAATCGTGTTTTTGTTATTAGCCCATCTGCGGAAATTACTGCCAACAAAGCGCAGGCCGGGAAACTTGTAAATCAATACCACCGCTTGCTTTTAAAGAGACTAGTCTCTTGACCGAGCTTCAGTAATTTGATCTCTTCCTTTGGATTACCAATTCCCATCGTGATTATAGATTTTTGCTGGACCCCATTCGCTTGCCGAATAAAGTAGCATATATAATAAACATTTATTTCACTTCTCTTTGGGCTTTACGAGCGTTTGTTTTACTCGTGACTATGGCATCGCCTCAATCTGAAGGCGTTCCCGAAGCTTGTGAAGATTTTTCCTTCGTAAGGGTAGTTAGGTTTTTGGCTTCTTCAAGTCCCAGTTTTTCGCCATGACCTAAATAGGGCATTCTGCTTTAACAAATATAAAGTTGGTTTCTTGCTTCATCAAATCGAAAATATTTACGACCCCAGGCATTTACCAAATATGAATTTCATTGCTGTGGTTAGTTCCACTTTACCGCGAGCTTGTACTTTTCGTGATCGTACACTTTGGCTTCCATTGGGTCGTGAGCACTTAACCTACCGAAGTAAGCAAGTGCATCAGCCTAAAATAAAAAGTAAATATTAGATTCATTTCTTAAAGAACATATTCAAAAGCATTACATAGTCGTTCCACCATCTCCGGAGGGAGGTATGACTTGGGAGCCATTGAATCATAGCCCATCGCTTTCGAAGAAAGCTGCGAAGCTCAAACAAGTTGTCCACTCAACGCAATTTTAAACAATCAAACCATGCAGGCTCAACTCTTTTTTTTTCTTCTTCGTTGAAATCATTCAACGTCTTTCAAATCGTCGATCAACGGCTCGTTCTCATTCTTTTTCACATTCCTCAAGGCAATGATTACATTGAGGCAGTCGGTGCGAGAAGCGTGACTTCTTCATTTTCCAAAATATCAAAAGCTTGTTTTAGGGAAAATTGTCTAAATTTATTTCTATTGTCCAAATAAGAATAGCTTACTTGTATCCCACCCCCCGGCGAAAGACAATGTGAAACGGCCGTGACTGGCAAATAATTCGCCGAAAATGGGTGCCGCGTTTGTCCCCAATATTTTGAACCGCTAGAACCTTAAAATTTTTTGAAATTTTTATTGAAAATTTTTTTACTAGATCATTCAAACATCAATCAATATCTTCTTTGCTAAAAACCCTTTTATTTATTAACCAAAAACCCCACAAATTGAGTGGGTGGCGATTCCGTAAAAGGCTCCGATTCCGGTGTTTTGTCGATAATCTGAACAATCACAGTAGACATAGATGTTGGACTGAGTCAGAGAAGATTGTTGTCAAAGCCTTGTCATTTGTAAGTTGTTCCATCCATGTGGAGAAACAGCAAAACTAACAAATAAATAACCATTGTACCAGCAAAATATTAAATCATTCAACAAAATAGTTTAGAAATTCACTGGCGCCCCCTGAATTTGGATTTGGTTCGATCTAAAAAAACAAATAAACCCACCAGAAGCATTGCGCAACTCTGCCCCACTGTTCTTCTCCACTTTTCCCAATACTCCCAGGTTTCAAAAGACTAAAAACTCAAGAGAAAATTGATCATTGATTGATAAAACCACTTTAATTATAGACTTTGGTTTTCGGATAGATTCCCATCAGATTAAACTGTTATATAAAAGTTACACTCGGATTATCAACCTTCAAGTTGGCGATAATAGACTAAACAAATCAAATAGACCTTTGAAAATAAGATTTTACCTGAGTCGCAGAAGTTTCGGTGATCGGAAGGTGGGTTACATGTAATAGAAAGGAAGCCGGGATGAATCTTTTTGTGATGATTGTTTGCTTGCTCTGCTTCCTGAGGGGCCTCTCGTTTTTTTGTCCTGCCTTAGTCTTGTGAATTTTAGCCTACCTGAGGGGGAATTGATAATACTTCACTCGTCCAGGATAAAAATTAAAAGTCAAGTTAAATGTTTGTTTTTCGACACTTTTATTTTTTTGCATAACTTTTCTCCGAATAACATTTCCAAAAATGTTTTTAAATATAAACCCTTTTTTTAAACCATCTTTTAAACACTTTTTAATCCGATATCCCCGTGTTATATTTTTTTCCATGTGAGAAAACGATAAACAATAACCCAAAGAGATGGCAGGGCGTGAGAGAAGTAAAAATTTCATTGAAATTCTATTAAGGTACCTTGTTAACAATGATTTCATAGCGCGAAAACAATGATTGTCAACGGGGAAAAATTAACAAACCTAAGACAATCCATTTTCAGGCTCATGTGCTGTTTCTGAAAAAGAAACTAGTGACTCTTCGTAAGAAACCAAAATTTAAAAAACGATAGAGACCTCCATATTAACACATATCCAAAAACGTATTCTTTATTACTATTCGTCTGGATGTTGAAGTTAAATTGATAACCATTAATTTCGACACTTTTGTATGTTCATATTCCTGGACTACATATGAATGAATGCACATAAACTATCCAGCTTTTTCAAACTATTTTTCATACCGAGCAACAATAATCTGAATTAAGATCGTAAAAATATGCATTCCAGGAAAAATTTTGCAAATTAAAAGTGGCGAAACGAACCGTGACCAAAAAAATAATGAAACTAAACTAAAGAAAAAGGTAACTGACTTCTGAAAAAGCGAACACTGGCGAAACCTCTGATCCTAGTGGCAATGAGAAGGATAACGAAGCAAACAACTGCGAGAAAGGCAAGCACGACTAAACAAAATACTTTAAAACAAAAAGGCAAAACCCACCAAAAGGCAGAATCGCCCACAACGGCAAACCGCTGCTTTCTTCTGCTGCGACTATTGTGGCATTGTGGCGCGTGTTGTTCTCATTTATATTTGAAGTTGTTGGAGGAGAACGACAGAACTAAAAGAAAATAACGGAATGTCAAAGTCGTTGAATCGAGAGTCGTTATATCGAGATTAGATTGTATTTCATAAAAGATAAACAGCGAAAATTAATTTATAAGGCAACTGCCATAATGACAAAATAAAAGAATATAAAAACCAACCATGTTTTGATCGATCGACCGCAATTGAATGTTTTGAAGACTGAGATATTCGGTGGTGTCTTTTTATGTGACCGTTAAATTCAAATTCGCCCATTCCAATGTAAATTGATTTTTGCTAATTATCATCAGAACATCTTGTGAGTTGAAATTGTTGTAAAGAGTCGTGTTCGTAGAGGAGTAGAATACATAAATTTCTCCATCACCGCATAGAAGACGACATCGGGAAGTGCTTCGAGGAAGTTGACAGAGGGGGTTGACATGGGCTGAAATAAAGCTTGTACAAAACATCCACTGGAAAGCAATCACAAACTACAATATTTAAAATGAATTATAGCTAAACGCTCACATTCAGTTGCTCCTTCTGAAAGCTTTCCATGATTTCCGCTGGGTTCGTCATCATTGGAAACTACCGTTCTAAAGAAGTTTGTATAGAAGGGATGAGCAAAAAGTTAGATAACATAAAGAAACGAGATCGTGAAAGCATAGATGAGAAATGAGCAGAACAAGAAAAGACCTGGTAGTAACCCACGGTTATAAGCCTTTTGTTTCAGACTAGAGTATTCAATCAAGCAGCAAAAATTTGATGATTATGATTCAGCTTGATGTAGGAAGTCTGAGGATCTAAGATTTGGGTTAAACAATGGAAGATGGAGATCTGGAGACCAAGATTCAAATTTGCGATTGGAAATTGAACCACAATTATTCCCAGCACTATCAGTCCATACATTGAACACGTGTTTTCCAGAAACTATCCAGGGTGTCCGAAACAATAGCGATTGAAATCCTACATTCGCTTTGATTAATTCAATCAGATTCTTAGGGCCGGTTTGCTCTAAAATCTACCGCTTTAGGTCGTAGCATAATTTCTGCATAGGAAACGATCTAAATTTTTGAGTCGCAAACCCAATTCTGCTTAGTATCGATTATAAGAATGATTATAAAAATTTCAAAGTATAATGTAGTATACCCAAGTTTGAGACCCCCCGATACTGATTATGCCCAAACATCCAAGATTTTTGACCTAATCTCGCTTTATCTTCACAACCAGCCTTCTAACTTACTATTGGGTGATTGGAACTGCCGAATTGAGCTCAAGTCAAGTAAATTAACAAAGAGACCTTATTCAAAATCACCCATTAGCAAGCTTTTTCATGGTTTTTTGCTTTCAAACGGTCTTTTTTTTCCTGAATAATTTTACTTCATTCATCCGCTCTTCTTTTATCCTAGATGTGGTGATTTCTAATACTCCGGAATGGATCGGAAAAGATGTCAAAAGATGTGCCCCCTTCCTGGAGCTGACCACTACTCGATTGCCTTTGAAATCCAAGCCGAGGGACCTAACGATTCACTTCGCGGGAAGGGTATCAATTTATGTTTGCATTTTAGGACTAATTTTGACTTAGCCGCGGTGTTACGAACCGAAAAGTTAACTAAACCTATGTTCTGCTCGGTTTCAACAACTGTTGAATCTCATTATAGTTACTTATATTCTAGTATACTGATATCCGTTCAAGCAGCCTGTACTCACGAGAAATTCTCCTCTCCACCCCACATCCTTAGAGCAAAAAAACTTAGAGAAGAGACTTAGAGACTTATTAGCAAATTCCCGTTACCCAGATCCATCAAGGGATAATCCAAGCGTCTCCCGTGCTCAGAAACTACTCTCTAAATTCTCTCATAAATCTGAATCTAATACAGAGAAACGGGCGGTAAACTCCAACAACCCAAAAAGTTTTTTTCCTATATTAATTCGAAAACTAAGGACCCGAAGTCGATAGCTTCCTCCTTTATTGATCCCAACAATCCCCGATTACCTGTTACTGACCCTGAAAATATAGCAAATCTCTTTGCTAAATTTTTTAGCTCCACCTTTTCAGATTTTAGCGGTAATACTCTACCAACTTTTTCAACAACCGGAAACAGTAATACTCCAGTACAACCAAACTTTTTACTTACCCTTTAGATATAGAAGCGGCTGTCTTCAAATTACACCCTAAAAGACTATTAGTCCGGACAAAGTAACCTCTTTCATTTTGAAAAACCTATCTCGGTCTTTAGTCTACTCAATCTGTAAGCTTACGGGATTTGCAGCAACATAAGAGCGTTTATTCAGGAGTTTCTTACTGGCCGTACTTTTATGGTTTCTCGATGGATCTTTCTTCTTCGCTTTCATGTTTCAGTCCCACTAAAAGCGGCAATTGCACGATAATATAGTTTTATTCAAAAATGATTACATTCAGGCAGTCGGTGAGAAGCGTGACTTCTTCATTTCTAAAATATCAAAAACTTTTGAATAAAACTATATGATAGTGCAATTGCCGCTTTAGTGGGATGCCACTGGAAACATGAAAGCGAGAGGAGAAAGATCCATTGATACCCTTCCCGCGAAGTGAATCGTTAGGTCCTCGGCTTGGATTTCAAGGGCAATCGAGTAGTGGTCAGCTCCAGGAAGGGGGCACATCTTTGACATCTTTTCCGATCCATTCCGTGCTGGGAATGATAGTGGAAAACTGATAGTGCTGGGAATAATTGTGGTTCAATTTCAAATCGCAAAATTGAATCTTGCTTTCCAGATCTCCATCTTCCATTGTTTAACCCAAATCTTCTTAAATCCTCAGACTTCCTACATCAAGCTGAATCATAATCATCAAATTTTTGCTGCTTGATTGAATACTCTAGTCTCAAACAAAAGGCTTATCACCGTGGGTTACTACCGGGTCTTTTCTTGTTCTGCTCATTTATCATCTATGCTTTCACGATCTCGTTTTTTATGTTATCTAACTTTTTGCTCATCTCTTCTATACAAACTTTTTTAGAACGGTAGTTTCCAATGATGACGAACCCAGCGGAAATCATGAAAAGCTTTCAGAAGGAGCAACTGAATGTGAGCGTTTAGCTATAATTCATTTTAAATATTGTAGTTTGTGATTGCTTTCCAGTGGATGTTTTGTACAAGCTTTATTTCAGCCCATGTCAACCCCTCTGTCAACTTCCTCGAAGCACTTCCCGATGTCGTCTTCTATGAGGTGATGAAGAAACTTCCAGCGCGCGTCATCGAAAAGTTTCCAGCCTTCATTTTCTAACGCTAATCTTTGCTTTAGTTGTGTTCGATTGCTCTCAAGGGATTGCTATAGGAGGGTTGAGCTGCGCAGAGCAAGACTTCCTCGCGTTTATTTCGAGGAGCTTCATGTTGATAAAAACCAGGTAAGACATTGTTGCGTTATTTACAAAAAGGTTTTAGTTTTACTATGACTCTGGAGCAAGGAACAAATATAGAGAAACGATCGATCCAGTTAATTTGATGCAACATTTGGAGTATTTGGGAGAGCGTACAACTTTCAAGACCCTCAGTTTGGTTAGTGTCCCTGCTGTTTTCTGGTACTTAAAATCTGTCTTTTAGATGTATGTCAATTGGGAAATGTTTGCAAATTGCAAGTTTGAATGCAAGATATTGATTTGTTTTGTTGACGATGGGACGACTCTTTCGCCGGAAAGATTCATGGATATGTTTTGCAGTATAAGGCCAACGCAAAAGCTAACGATTTATGTAAGTTTGTTTGAACGAATTAAAATTCGGTTGATTAAGGCGCGTGGGAAAAATTTTTCTGTTTTTCCTGTTACGAGCGATTTTTTCACGAATGATTATGCGGTTGGATTGCAGGAAGTTTGGTTGGAGGGTTGGGGGAATGATCCATTGAATGACACGGTTTGTTTT